TGTGGTAGGGTCAGGTGCAGTATCCGAGAGGAGCCTCTGGTTACAGATGTGCATGTGTGGTAGGGTCAGGTGCAGTATCCGAGACAAGGCTCCTGGTTACAATGTGCACATGTGGTAGGGTCCATGCGGGCTTGTGATTCAGAACTTCTTTTTTTAAACCACATTTGACTCAGTGGATTGTGAAGTCAGTGTAGTAGGGCATAAGTAGAATCTTTGTTCATTATGCATAAATGTATTGCCATGTGTACTGAGTTTCTGTGCAAAACATTTCTTCCTGAGGGTTGCCATCAATAACAAATTGGGAAGAAACTAATATAATAGTAAGATAATACTAAGTCTTATCAGACATGAAAACAGGGTACCCAGAAGACTGGGCTAGTTTTCTACTTGCATGTTGTTATAGAGTCTCACTTGGATAAATAATCACTTCTGTCTTTCACGTGAGAGGCGTCTGGAATTTGAGAATAACCCTTCAGAGGTAAGCCTCCCACAGTCCACAGCAGGGTAGGCCTCTCCATTCAGTCAGTCCTATGGGGAGAAAAGAGTGAACTCAACAGTACCTAAAACCTTTGGCAGAGGAAAAGATTTTGCCTAAAACTGAGGCACAATTATGCCTTGGCCTCTGTTTAAAAAACGACTTGGGTGCCAGGAGTTCAAGACCAGTTTGGGCAACACAGTGAGACCCTAAAAATTTAAAAATTAGCCAGGCATGGTGGCATGCACCTATATTCCCTGCTAGTTGGCAGGCTGAGCAGGAGGTTCACTTGAGCCCAGGAGTTTGAGGTTGCTGTGAGCTGTGGTCATACCAGTCTGGGTGACAGAGTGAGACCTTTTCTATTAAAAAAAAAAAAAAAGGGCAGTGCCTGTGGCTCAAAGGAGTAGAGCGCTGGCCCCATATGCCAGAGGTGGTGGCTTCGAACCCATCCCTGGCCAAAAACTGCAAAAACAAACAAACAAAAAGACAAAGTACGCTTGTTAAGGGGTTAAGAGGCAGATCAATAAGGGGACTGGGAAGCCAGGGACAGCTCATAGAAGGCAATAATTGACCCGTTTAGGGTTGTTTTGAAGCCAGAAGGCAACAGATGGGTTGAGATGAACTAAACAGGCCTGTGTTAAAACTGCTGTAGGAGTTTTGTGGTTCTTCCTGGTTCCTGTTAATGCCCATTCCGTTCCCAGCTAAGTTACAGAATGCTTGTGGGGGGTACAGATCACGCTTGCTTTATGGGCTGCACGTGTACCTCACCCCCCTGTGCCACAAGTTGGCACAACAGCTTAGAATTTTAGCGAAAGGATTCACTTTCTTAGATTCTACAAACACCTAAGTGGTTTTATCGTGACCCTTCAACCTCCTAAAAATGGAGAATTAAATCAGTGATAGTAATTGTCATACTTTTTAGGTCTGTGTCATACCTTATTTTAAATATAGCATATAATAGTTTTTATTGTAGATTTAAAAATTTTCCTTGCATTATATATGACATATATTAGGCCACTTGCAAATATCATCAAATGATGAAAAATGGGAATATCAGCTAAAGTGGTCTTACAGTATTTTAGTAGAATATTTAATTATCTGGTTTAGTTTTAGCTGGAGAGGGAAACTGCCACCAGGGGTCCTGTCATAGGAGAGATAAGGTGCCCTGGCCGCGGCTCCTGGGGCCTTGATTTTGAAGATAATGAGTAGATGAACCGCTCAGTGCTGGAGGGATTTTGAGGAAGCCAAGGTCATTCCACTTGTGACCAGGGACATTTTTGAAGGGAGGGAAATCTGATCTGGGTTTTGGAAGCATGGGTGGAATTTGGGTAAAGAATGGTGCGTATAACCGAGGTGCTAGGAACAAGCAAACAGCAGACAGTGTGCTGAGAGGAGAGCGAGTGGACGAGAGGAGAGTGAGTGGACGAGAGGAGAGCGCTGAGAGGAGAGCAAGTGGACAAGACGAGAGCGCTGAGAGGAGAGCGAGTGGACAAGAGGAGAGCAAGTGGACGAGAGGAGAGCAGGTGGACGAGAGGAGAGCAGGTGGACAAGAGGAGAGCGAGTGGACGAGAGGAGAGCGCTGAGAGGAGAGTGAGTGGGCAAGAGGAGAGCGAGTGGACGAGAGGAGAACGAGTGGACGAGACGAGAGCGAGTGGACGAGACGAGAGCGCTGAGAGGAGAGCGAGTGGATGAGAGGAGAGTGGTGAGAGGAGAGCGAGTGGACGAGACGAGAGCGAGTGGACGAGAGGAGAGCGCTGAGAGGAGAGCGAGTGGATGAGAGGAGAGTGGTGAGAGGAGAGCGAGTGGACGAGAGGAGAGTGGTGAGAGGAGAGCGAGTGGACGAGA